CTTCCGTCTTTTAGTTGTATTTTTGAAGTTGGTTTGGTTGTGCGAGGCAGCATTCTCCGGTGTTTACCTATGCCGCCATCTTGGTTCTCTCTCCTTTTTAATTCTTGACTTAAGTAGTATTCACTTATGAGAGAGAGTGATTTTCCTCTCATTTGAATGGGGCAAATGATAATAGAGTCTGTCATCTTGGAGAGCCGGCTGAGATAGTAAGAATGTCATTGTGGTACACTGAGATGTGTCAGCTTAGCCTGAGGTAACTAACCTCATGGTTTTATAATTAAATCACAATAATTTATTTAATAGCACTGGGGCAAAACAAAAAATCTAAATAAACAAGAAAAAAGAACAAAGCAAAAGAAAAAAAGCAGGGGGGTAAGTGGTTCATTGTTTCATGTAATCCTCACGGAAGACCTGGTACATAATGTGATGAGGAGCGGAGTCCAAGAGTAACTGATTTCTAGTAAGCAGGAGGAGCTGAGACTCAGAAGCTAGTTTGTCTGACTTTGTACCTATTAGACCTGTGCCATTGCAGGCAGAAACATCAGGGTCAATACTTCATTTCTAATAGGGTGTTAGGAGGGGCAAGAGTTAGTGTGTTTTACTAATGAAGAAAAAGAAATTTTTCATTATCTCAGGAATTAGTGAAACTTCATATATACTAGTCAAGCTAATGAGTATTAATTTTGTCATTTCACTTTTTAAGCTAATGTGCACTTATAGAGGACCCTTTGTTAATACCTGAACATCTTGGGATGCCTGTAGCCACAACAGAGGCATCATCATATACTTAGAAATATCTTTTTAAGCTTAGTGGACGGCATCAAAGAACCAAAGAGTTGTATAACAAAGAGGATGACTTGTGAAAAGTTGAGTGTACAGAACATACTTATATTGAGAACAAATTTTTTAATTTTGTTTTATTGTTTTAAGTATTACAAAGAGTATTATATATGTCTCCTTTTTTTTCCCCCTTGACCATCCCCTGGCCTCCCATACTCCCCAGTGTCTTGTGTCCATTGGTTATGCTTATATGCATGCATACAAGTCCTTCAGTTGATCTCTTACCGCCGCCCCACCCCCCCAACCCTCCCCGGCCTTCCCTCGTTTGACAGTTTGAGAACAAATTTATTTTTATTGTAAATAAGAAATGCTCATTGTAGAAAAACCTGCAAATACAGAAAACCTGAAAAACAAAGGAATCAGTTCTTTTGAATGACGTGTTTTCTTTCAACTGTTCCTACTAGCATGATGAGACAAGGGATCATGTGGAAGTGTGTCCCGAGGCTGGTGTTATTATTCAGGAACTTTCTCAACGCATTGCTCTTACTGGAGGTGCTGCCCTGATTGCTGATTACGGTCATGATGGGACTAAGACAGATACCTTCAGAGTATGTATAATTCAGTAACATGACTTGTCAGAACTTAATTGGTATGATTTACTTAGTTATCAATTGTTAGTTTTGAAGCTCATTTAAGATCTTTTTCTTTGGTTTCTATAGTGCTTCACACTGTTGTATTACATTATTTTATAATTAATATTAATTCATATTATAATTACTTTTAACTCTAGATCTTATTCCTAAGCCTAACTCCACTGTCCAACTTTCCTTTGAACAGAGTCTGAATTGTCTACATTCTTCCTAAAGTTGCAGAACCTAGGTCTGCATAGATCCTACTAAGCATCTAAATATACAATTGGAAAATCTTGCCTGAAGTTTTTTTAATATTCTACCCCTCCTTCATTTAAAGAAATAATTTAGTACTTTGCAGATTTTATCTAGCTACTATAATCATTCAAACTTTTCCTATAAGATTTGCACTATTTTTTTTCTTCTCCCTAAACATCTGTTCTTAAATTCTTTGAATATGATCAGTTATGTTCAATTTACTTTAATTGAAGTACATTTAATTAGATGCTATTAGTCATTTTCTAACTCTCTGGTTCTCAATTTCTAGCTTTATTGCATCTAAGGAAAGCCTGGATAGTGTATTAGAAATGCTGATTTCCTAGCTTTACCTCCAGGATTCTGATTCAGTAGGTCTGGTAACATATTCTCAGGTGATTTGAGGCACCTAGTTGATGGTTAGACTTTGTAAAACACTATCTAGGTTTTGGTAACCTGGATTCATCCGGAGGATTAATGAGATCTCTGTTCGTGGGCAGTCATGAAAACGTTAATTGTTAAGGATAGCAGCATCTTCAGGCGCTCCCAACACTGTGCTTTATACTGGGTTTTCCACATAGAAAATGGTGCTACTGTATTAACAGTGTGTAAACCACTGACTTAAGCTATATTTTCAACAGTTGTTATATAAAATGTACTAAAATCATAGCACTTTTTAAATTTTGATAATAGCATAAAAGGACAAAAACTTAATATTTTAAAAATTATGTTCAAGGGGTTTTGTGGCCACAAGCTTCATGATGTCTTAATTGCCCCAGGAACAGCAGACCTAACAGCTGACGTGGACTTCAGTTTTTTGCGCAGAATGGCACAGGGAACAGTGGCTTCTCTGGGTCCAATAAAACAACAAACGTTTTTAAAAAATATGGGCATTGATGTCCGGCTAAAGGTAACGGTTTATTTCCATATTAAATATTTTAATTTAACATTATTTCCAACAAAGAGTTAAAAAGTTTATCTGGCCTAAATGTTCTTGTAGCCAGCCAGTCTTTTCAGCGGCATAGGATTTAGTTTAACCAGGTGGCCTGGGGGCGGAGCAGCCTTCTTTTCATGCATCTCCATAAGGGGTAGAATTAAGGTTTTTAAGTAGTGTTCATGTTCACTAAGAAAACCGCAATTATGAGTATGAATGTTATAACTGTTCTGAGGACATTTTTACTCTTCAGTGTAGATCAGCCCATCTGGGAATATCTGTTAAACATACAAATTTATAGGTTTGTGTCATAGCAACCTGTTTTCAATAAGTACCCCATGATTTTGAGGCAGGTAGTCAGAAATAACTTTTTAAACACTGCTTTATTGAATAGCTAATAGTCATTATTACTATGTATAACTGGAAACCCTTCTTCTTTTTTTTTTTTAACTAGGAAATTATTTTCTTTTCAGATTCTTCTAGATAAATCCACTGAGCCATCACTGAGGCAGCAGTTACTTCAGGGGTATGATATGTTAATGAATCCTAAGAAGATGGGAGAACGATTTAACTTTTTTGCCTTGCTGCCTCATCAGAGACTTCATGCTAGAAGCCATGAGTTAAATGCAAATCAGTCAAAACCTTCTCCATCACCTGTGGCTGGATTTAGTGAACTTACTTGGCAGTGATATTTCAGTTTGGACTTTTAGTCCCCAAGTATACCTAAGAAACTAAAATAAAGGAAACGAATTTCATATATCAAAGGTAAAAAAAAGTGTTTTATTTCTTCACAGCCAATAAAAACAGCCCATCTTATATACAACTAATGCCCCGGTGCACAGATTCATGCACATATTAATTAAAAGGTGGCTGGTGGATCGGACTGGGTGAGGGGCCGGACATGCCCTGGAGCCAACCTCCCGTGGTACCTCCCCAGCCAGCTGTACCTGGAGCAGCGCTGTGGCTAAAAGGGCACCTGGGGAGTGGGGTCCCTCGGCCTGGCCTGCAAGGATTGGGCCAAAAACTGGTTCTCCGACATCCCCCCGAGGGGTCCCACGTTGTGAGAGGGCGGTTCTTGGGTGACGCACCCCTGAATCAGGCTCCTTCCTCTCTGGTCCTGGGGTGTGTCACTTGAGAATTGCTGCTGCCAAGTCACCGCAGCTCAGCAGCTCCTGTGTTGAGCATCTGCCCCCTGGGGATCATTGCGTGTCATAGCTACCAGTCAGATGGTCGGACGGTCGCTTAGCCTTTTATATGTATAGATACTACTAAATGTTCATCTTTTTTTTTTCTTTGTTAATCCTCACCCAAGGATATTTTTCCATTTATTTTTTGAGAGTGGAAGGGAGGAGAGAGAAATATCAATGTGAGAGAGATTGATTGGTTGCCTCCTGCACATGCCCCAACCAGGCCAGGGATTGAGCCTGCAACCGAGCTACGTGCCCTTGACAAGAATCAAACCTGGGACCCTTCAATTCATGGGCCGAGGCTTATCCCCTGAGCCAAACCATCTAGGGCTAAACGTTAATCATTTAAAGTTATTTTATTTTTTAAAAGATATTTTTATTGATTTCAGAGAAGGGAGATAGAAACATTAATGATGAGAATCATTGATTGGCTGCCTCCTGCATGCCCCGCCACTGGGGATCAAGCCTGCAACCCAGGCATGTGCCTTTGACTGGAATCGAACCTGGGACCCTTCAGTCCGCAGGCCGATGCTCTATCCACTGAGCCAAACCAGCTAGGTCTAAACATTAATCTTTTAAAGTTATTTTAACTCTGGGAGCAAATAAGTGTTCTTATGTGTGAAACTGAGTTTCCTTTAGTAAATAAAGCTAGTTGCTATATTTTTATTTTATTTCAAAAAGTAAACATGTGGGGGTGGGAGTGGCTGGGGAGAGGTCAATGGTGGAAAAAGGAGACTTATGTAATACTGTAAACAATAAAGAATTAAAATTTTAAAAAAAGAAAAAAAAAGTAAACATGAACACTGATTGGAAAACTGGAAACAACCTAAATGGCCATTTACAGGTGACTGATTAAATAGAACTATGTATTATGTTTTTAAATGATGTAGAGTGGTATGTTCTGACATGGAAAGATCTCTAAGATATAAGGAAAGAGTAGGGTGCAAAATGTTTTATAGTTATGAGTCCATTTTTGTTGGAGAAAAGCTACATTTAAAGAAATGCTTATAAGTAATTCCACAGAAATGAGTATTTTAGTACAGATAGGTTGTTTTTTGTTCTGTGTTACTTACTTGTATATAAGAAGGAAAGGATGCCCAATAGTCACTATTAAATTTCCCAATCTGGAAGAGGGTCTTAGAGGTGGAAAGAGCATTTTTCTTTGTTCTCCTTTTAAGTATTTGGATTTTTTACCTCAGGCTTCTGGGAATTTTATAATTAAAAATAAAATCAGAAATAAAAAAAAAGAAAAAAAATGAAAAAAAAATAAAAATAAAAAAAATAAAAAAATTAGATTTTAAAAAGTTTAAAAATCACAGTAAAACTAGTAAACATTTAAAATGTGAGTTAAGTGTAGACTATCTAGGAGGTATAAGTTTCCAAATTGAGCTAATTCTCCCTTATTTTCAGATAAATGTCAAATTTTAGTTTTACTAAGTTCTCATGTTTTAGTTCACAGAACTTTTATTTTTATTTTTTTAAAAATATATTTTATTGATTTTTTACAGTGAGGAAGGGAGAAGGATAGAGAGTTAGATGAGAGAGAGTTCGATGAGAGAGAAGCATCGATCAGCTGCCTCCTGCGCAGCCCCCACTGGGGATAGGCCCACAACCAAGGTACGTGCCCTTGCCCGGAATCGAACCTGGGACCCTTCAGTCTACAGGCTGACGCTCTATCCAGTGAGCCAAACCAGTCAGGGCAGAACTTTTATATTAATACCAGACATACGGACATTCTGAAACATTGCTATTTTAGCAACACAAATTTACAAGTGAGATTAAAGGAAAAGGATATTAGGCATGTGTCTTGAACTATATTGAAGTTCACTGGCAGTGATGAACTGTTGCTTTTTATTGCTTCTTTGGCTTAACTGAGAATAGGATTAGCATTCTGTGTGTCACTCTAAAGTAAAGGAACATGGAGGCTTATTTTTTCAGATACTGTCCAGCCTTGGGCCATTCTTAGCCACCCTTATTCTATTTCCATGATTTTTTCCCTCAAAGTCTTAGTTGGGACAATTTTGTGAAGGTAAGAAAGCCTATGGAAAACTGAAAACAACCGAAATGGCCATTTAATAGGAGAGTCAGGCAATGCCTTATATCTTAAAACCTAGGAAATTCACTTTGGTATTAGGTATATATTCACGTCTTCTGGCAGCTGCAGTAGTGGATTATTTAGTAGTAGTGCCTAAAAAAATGTATTGTTATAATTATTGACTTTAATGCCAAGAAATGAGACCTCTAATTACCTCAAATTGCATATCAATTTATAATAATGAGTTATTTTTTTATTTTAGGCAGTTAAAAAAAATCATTGTTCTTAAATATAGCATTAGTTCCATTTACAAATACTATTTCCAAAATAGTTCTCTTACCAAAGCCTGGGGAAATAACACAACCAAATAAAATTTTCTTTGGATATCTCGACCAGAGATAGGTTCAGGTTTTCACATGGAAAAGTATGGTGATATGGAAATACATTTTATTATTAAGCTTTTTTGAGGATATTTACAAAAAGTGGGATATAACAAAAAATATAAAAATGTACTGAACAGTGTCATTATAGACTATTTTGTACATTATCAAATGTTTCTCACAATTATTTTTTATACAAACAACTTGATTTCAAGACAAAAAAAAGGTTATGTAGGTTATACAGTATCTGGAGTAATTACTCAACTCCAAATTATCTGACAGTGCCTTTACAAATTAGAAAACTTCCTAGGCATTCAACGACGAAGAGTGCAAAAATTTCATGGCTTGTAACGTTTGATTATATAAGCACAGCAAACAAACACCATTCCAGTTAATTTTCACCTTATGTAGTAAAACCATAATAGGATGCCTGACTCAGAATTATTCCTTTTTAGCACAGTGATATAAACAGACTTACTTTGGAGAAATTTAGGGAAGTCATCTATCCTAGGGAAAACACATTTCTAAAAGGTTTTGCAGAATTTGAGTTTTAAAACTCCTGTGAGAATGAAATACTGAGAGATGTGGACTGTCTCCTGGAGACCTTTATGGGGAAGCAGTGTAACAAAACAGTCTGGAGGGTATGAGGGACTCCAGAGCCACACTGGGTTCAAATACTAACTGTGAACATCAGCAGCTAGTTAATCACCCTGTGCCTCAATTTCCTTGTTTGTGAGATGGGCTTCATTATGCACTTAGCTCATGACTGTTGTGAGTGTAAAAAGAGCTCAGAACATATCAACAATACACGTTTGCTACTCAGAGATTGTGAAAAGTTCTTTCAGTCTTTGTTAAAAGAGGAACAATCTTTTCCTTTGCTACCTCTAGTTCAATGGGCAGTGACAATGAACACTTTTATAGTTTTTAGCTTATTGACTATGTTCATATATAACATCTTTAAAACAACACCGTGAGGAAGGTAGAGGCAAGAATTGGGAACTTCATTTTGTAGGTTGAGGAACTCGAGGCTCAGACAGATTGTCACCTGGCCAGGCGAACACAGCTAATACAGGGAGCCAAGACTTCTAAGACTTAAACCCAGATCTACTAATTACACATCTCTTGCTCTTTTTGGAGGAAAAAAAGGTTACAATGATTACTGAAGAGTGGAGAAACAAAAAGCCATAGATTTTATAAGTCCCAGATATTTTTTTGGAGGGAAAACTATTAAAAATTTATTTAGCTGGCTGCTGGAGCTGAAATGTTTTAAAAATACTTATCCTTTCATTTGCTCTGCTGATCATAGAGTCCTACCCTTCTAAGGGTTTTATGCTCAACCCAAACAGTTTAAAATAACTGATTTAAAAACATTCTAGACATCTGTACAGCCTTCCAATAACCTAAGGGAAGAAAAAAAAGGACACTGTTTGCTATTCTTTCCTATAGTTTTAACTGACCCTGCACTGGTGTTACTTTTAGTATATATTAATTTCCTCCCTCAAATTATTCAACCCTGTGTTAAGATATATAATTATATTTTAGGTCTATACCCATTAAATGCTGGAATCTAATTGTGGCATCATAGTGTTGTCAGTGAGAACATTATTTATTAGTAGCAGAGTTGAGCTATGAGAAGACATACATAGTAACTCATCACTCAGATCAGCAGTTCCTGGTTTTGTAACATCAGTTGTCCAAAATTATCTTAGAGGCTATTGTAACAAAAGGTGACAACTTAATTTTTATGTTGTAGAGAGCATATTCAGAGTTTCAACTCCAAAACAGAGTTTGGAGTCCTGATTGACCTAAAAGAGAAAGGTAAAATAATCCAGCGTTCCTTTTTAAGGCAGATATGAAAAACATTTCAATCCCTCTAGGGTCAGTTAAATAAATGTTTTAAGTCTTTATAGGAAATCATATGCCAGCAGCCTCTCTGATATCTCTTTAAATTTAATTGTTTAGTAATCAACCTTGTAACTCATATGTTTTGGTCAAGCTATGTAATAACTGGATCCTAGCTTGCCATCTGTCCCCTTTCTTGAAAATAATATAAGAACAGGAAAGGGAAGATAAATTAAGTGCCACTATTGTACTAAAGTGAAGGATTAGGAAAAAAAAATACAAAAAACAGTTATTTCTTATGCTATAAAAATTTAT